GACTGAAACGTCAGCAAACTTCTATAAGACTTCACACTGTAATACTCCAGAAGGCTGTAAACTTCCATTTGCTGTTGAGAGAACATGAAATCTAATTTTTAATCCATTTTCTACCACGAAGTGGAATTAAAAATGTCTGAGTGTTTGATCTTTGGGTTTCTGCAAAGGGGTAGTGTCAAAAATGATTGTGATCAATCAACATTATTAAGACCTGATAAACGTGTGTTCAGCCAGAGCAGATTTTTTCAAGTTTACTAAGCCATAATAGATACTTTTCAAGACTCTTCATACATGAGCTACACTAAACACACATCAAAATAACAAATTCAAATTAAGAGTGTTTACACAAATAATATTTTGTAAATCAAGGTTTCAGGCAGACTGTAAAATAAAAGAGTTTTGTCCCATCCCCTGTGCCTATTTTATGCAACTAACTTTGGGGTTGTTTAATATTCAGGTAAATATGAGTCTTACAATTACCATATAAAATACATAAACTGCTTCATCATTAGCAATCTTGTCCTTCAAAACAGATTTCAACAAATTCCCTCACAATAAATTACAAATGGGTCAAATAAAGTTCACAGGGCAATAAAGAGGGAGATTACAGCCCATGCAATTCCTAATGTCAAGTTTCATGGATGAGGAGTACCGCCATGCAAAGCAACACTTATAAAATATAAAAAATGGTGCACTGACTTTTTGGAGAAAGGAGATGTAGAAACAACAATAATATGCTACAACAGTCTACCTCTCCTTCCACAACCACAGAAAAGTGTGGAGTGAATGAGATGAACTTACTGACGAACAGTATATCTGGTGACTCGGTCTGCGCTGCGCAATGTCATCCCCAGACCAGATGATGGGGAAGGACTACTTGAGGTTGTGGGCGTAGCTTTCACTGCAGCTCGGGTAACTGGTCTTGTGGGATGGGTTAGGTTAACTTTGCTGATATTTAATGATCGATTTGATCCATACATTGAGTTTAGAAGCCAGGTATTTCTAAGAAAAGAGAAAGAGAGACAGAGAAAGGTGATGAAGGTACAGTTAGCTCATAACACCATAACCCCTCCCTTCAAAAGGCTGTCACATATATATGATGCATAACATTTCCCAAGTTTTATCTGAATTTTGAAAACCACAACTGGAATGTTGAAAAAGATGTATATTTATCATTTCTTGATCCCTACTGTAAATTACTTGGCTAAAAAATGACAAAAATATGCTTATTATATAAACTGAAGCCCAGATTGAAACTCTGAGGGACGAACATAACCACACTCCACACTGACAGCAATTTAACCTTTCAAAATAGTATACACTTAAGCATACCTAAGTAGCGCAAATTCGGCCTGTGAAAGTAACTGTTTATTTCAAGATTATGTGTAAAGAAAATCAGCACCAGAAGAAGTTTATTTCACATCAAGACTTATCTACAGAAAGCCATTAAAATGGGGTATAAATATGAGTGTGTTCTAGCACATCCTATCCAGTGGATTCCAGTAGTAAAGTGACTGCAGGATGAAGGTGATTATTCATGTCCAGCCAGTACTCACATCTAGAATGCATGGAGCTTTGCTTTCACATCCCCTGGTGGTTCAGGCACAGGGCCTACTTGACCTTTACTTATGGGATTCACACTATAACATCAAGTCCAGCTGCCAAACTCCAAGACTGAACAACCGATGTTATAATACATAAATCTTTTAAGGTTCTCTGTTTTAGTCCTAATTAACATGTGGTGGGCCACATAAAAAGTTTGTGAGGGCCATAGTTTGGCAACCGCTGCTAAATTAAATTTGTTTTTGTACTCAATGCAAGGCCCCTGTACATGATTACAACATGTTATACGGAAACGGCCAATGCACGTCTTCACAGACGCTTGGCTGCATCTCTACACGACATGCAAATACATACCTCTAACTCCACCTATAAATTAAATACAATGCTCAAGATAAGTGAAAGGGCTGAGACAACACGAACAACTGGTTAGAAAGCAGACTGGTGTGTCCTCAGTTATCTCTTAATACAGCAATTAAAAGTTACCCTTTTTTTTACAGCACTTCACACAAAAAATAAATATTCAATGGACTCCTCTTATCCTGAAGTGATGAAGTATTGCTACATATTCATCATAGTACCTTTAATTAGATTTATAAACTGAAAATAATGACACCATTATATCCAAGTTTTCATTATGCAGAAGCAAACGGTCATCCATTACCCTCTCCCTGCCAGGAACCTGATCTGAGCAGAAGAGCCAGTTTGTATAAGGCGTGCCAACAATCTGATTTGGCCAGTGCTTAACAGCTCAAATATACATCAAGAGATGCCACAATGAGGCTCAATATTTTGTTTCCAAAAAAACCTCTTGTAATTACTCAGCCTTTACAATTATTGCACAGTTTGTAGCATTAAGTTAATCTTCCCACTTCCAAACAGATATAGCCTAATACTTAAGACAAAATCTACTCTTACTCTTGCCAACTTGCGGAAGGGTTCTAGTCCTTACGTTTACATGCCTTGATTTCAGTGTGTAACTTCAGCCATCCATGTTAGCAAAAGTTATACACACAGGCTATTTTAACATTAAGAGAGAACTTGTATTTTAATTTCAGCTAATTTTCCATTATATGAGTTATTTATGTCACATCTTAAAAATATGTTTTCAGAACATTGTAATGAAAAATAAACAAAAATTGAAAATAACACTGCATGACTGAGGAAGAACATGTTGAAAGTTGAATACTTTCATTAATACCTGTATTTATTTAAGTTCTTAATTTGGAACAAACAACACATTTCAGCATATGATGTACTGGACAAGTCTGTTTTAGTTAACTTCTAATTACATTACAAATGCAAAATGAATGGAACAGTTTTGTGATCTGAGAAAGCACCGGACTTAAAATTAAGCGGGGATCAAATCAAAGAAAACATAAAAACACAACTGTTCACTTTGAATAACGATATCAAAGCAAATTTTACAATTTATTTTTGCCCTAATTAAGGAACTGGAAATTGTTCTCATTCATTGTATTACCAAGAACAAATCAGACAATTATGTGCCTGGAAGAAGGGTAATAAACATACACTGTACAGAAAGTCAAGAGTTATTCACATAATTTGCCCAAACAAAAACATACAACTGGGTAACGTACCTTTTAGTCATAGCAGTGGTGGTGCGTGATGTTCTCTTAGTAGACACAACGTCCTTTTCCTTGTTGTGGGCAGCCACTATGGTACTGCTCACTTTTGCTGCCTTAAGAGGGGAAAGAATTGTGTTTGGCATCTGCTGTTGCTGTCCGCTGCGGAATGGCTGTGACTTGGCCCTGGTATGTGGTCTCCCATCTTCCAAGCTACAACGCAACAAATGTTCAATTAATATGACAGATGGTGTTAAGCACTCATCAAACACAACAATTGCTTCAGCCAGGAACACAGAACTGGAACTAGGGGTCAGGAATAAATAAATAAATAAATAAAGTAAATTTAACAGAGATAGGAATTTGTTCAGAGAAATGTACTAAGAAAGTTCCACTAAACTATTCTCAAGTTTAACATACTGGAGCCTCATAACACAAATGTTACTTACTGTACGGCACCAGTTGTTACTGATCTGGGATGTCTTCTCAGCGCCTTTATTTGATTTAACTTGTCACCCTGCGTCATCACGGCGATATTTCTATTGGGCTCATCACTGTTTTGGCTGGCAGCATCCTACAAGTGCAACAGTGGAATAAAAAACACATAGAATGTATATACTATGAGAAGTAGTGGGATAGTCCAACTCTACCCTCTGCCAGATACTACTACATCAAGAAGGCATGATTTCTGATATCAGACAACTGTTTTTCATAATACTGCAAAAACTTTAATCAGATCAGCAAAGTGCGTGCAGCCTATAAGTTGAGGACTCCTGCATCAGACTTTCTTCCTTCACAGCACTACCTCTAGATTAGTTACCATTCCACTGAACCCACAGTTTTGTAAAAACATTCAAATCAACTGAAAGCAAGGAGAACAGACGTGACTGATACGACAAGATGGCCACAAAGCACGTGCGTATAATTAGAAAATAAAGAGAGAAGCAGAGTTATTCAGAGCAAGGACCTTGAAACACGCATTTCTGGTAAATACTGTTCATAAGTACGACAAACAATTACAAAATATAAATTAGCAATAATTTTAATATCTCTCCATAATCCTCACCTCAATTAATTCCAGTTTTCTTCTGAAACTTGTTTCATTCTTGTTTTCATCTTCTTGATCATCTAATTTCATCGTGTCTACTTTATGAAGAATCCTGGACACATTGTCAGTTGCCTTTGAGTCCTTTTTCACTACCTTACCATTCTGTGTGTTCAGTTCAAAACAAAGAGACTTGTTGTTTCTCACACTGTAGATACCATATACGTGTTTCGGATACACGTTTGTATTCTCATCATTTTGCGATCGAAGCAAATCACCTTGAAGCCACATGTGGGACTGTTTACTATAAAGGAAACCATTTCATATAGAAAAGATGTTAGTTAATGTGACCACACTGTATTTCCAAAAGTGAATAAAATTTATCACCTTACAATGTTTCAGAATGTTATATATAAATAATGCCATAAGCAACTAGACAGAATCAATTATGAAACTACTCACTTTACTGAGATACGGTTTGTACTACATTCAGATGGAAACAATAGACTCCAGGAAGTGGTGGGAAGGGGGAGAGCAGGTTGTGACAAACAGTCTATGGTACCGAACATCTGTACTAGCAGAAAATGTATACCGAGGCATTTAAGAGTCACATACAGGGCATGAAGGGAGGAAAGAAGAGGTCTCCCACTACCAACGGAGAATTTTAAACGCACCAATTGAGCCATTATTTTAAATCAAAGTAACTGACAGTCCCCATAAAACGTGCACTAAAGAGCTGATCTTACTCTTCAAGCCACTGTTGTTGATGACCAATAATTGACCCTGGACGACACATTCGGATCCATGCAATAGTCTCGTGTGCTGAGAAATGATAATGCTTCATAATGTAGCAGCCTATGAGAGATCCAGTTCTGCCTAGGCCAGCTGTAAAACAAGTGTTTAGGCATTATATATAATCAGAGCCCACAATACTAATTGAAACAAGATGAAGCATAACATCACAGCATAGTTTCTATTTTTGGTTACAAACATTTTCCTATATAAAATTATATAAAAAAATTAACATTCCACATGCTTGTGAATTTTTATTTCCTATTCAGTGGCACGAAAGGGAATTAATAATTACATAACCCAAGACAAAATATACATTTGTAGGAGATGACAAAAATAAATATTCAAGTCTACACTAAAACATACAATGCATCCAGAGAAAGATCCCCTATCCCCACCCCAGTGACAGGAAGTACATTTGGTTTTCTTCTACCAAACCTCTGTTCTTGCTTGTCCATAAACATGATGGATTTATAATTTACATGAAGTTTATTACCAGCAGTTCATACAAAAGTTTGCCAGTATCAATTTTGACTAGCATAAAACTGCTAAATGGAATCGAGAACAATGTCAAATAAATATTTAAAAAATACTCTGATCAAATGCAGAACTGGAACTTCTTAATAAATTCAGTTCATAAATGGATACTTGTTGCAAGATTAATTGTGAATAAAACTTTGTATACTTCCCTTTATGGACATAAGGTCTTGGCTTAAGCACAGAACAACTGGCCCTGTGTCCCAGTAGCACACCACTGAATTGTTAAACCCTGAAGTTTAAATCCAGCAAAGAGCTCTGTAATATAGGAACTTAAATCCTCTTTCCCCACACGACAAAGGTTACCAAACCAAGAAAATGTGTTTACAAAATTTATAGACATCAATGAACGTGCATACTACAAATTACTTTGAAAGGACGAGTTACATAAAGAATATGTATATCTACGACTAAAATGGACTTGCCAGTAAAACATAACTAGTGATTACTTCATCAGTGACAGTAAGCAAGAAGTTCAAAATTGAGTTTCAAGCTGCATTTAAGGAGCAGTTTAAATTTCAGAGTTTAATAATCTGCATGTTTGCTTATCCCCAGTTTTCTTGTAGACACTTGAATGACTCAGCATATTACTAACTGAGCTGGTTTATATAAGAGTTCATCTGAATAAACAAACATTGCTGAGACTGTAAAGATCAAATGTATGAGTTTCATCAACAGATACAAAAATTAATTTTGTATCTCTCTCCATGGACAGGACATAGGTGTACACCACTATATGTCCAGGGTGTATGAATAACATATCTTAAAAGAAACAGTGGGGTAATTTCCACTGCAGATAGACAAGGCGGGCCTCAAGAGTGCACCTGATAAGGAACTTCATAATACGAAATTGTAGGAGTTTAACACAGAGCATAGAAAAAACAGAGACTCATACCACATTCACCAGGTGCTGCAAAGTACCAAGAACATCTGAGAAAGCTAAAATGTGTACAAACAATTTTAGAAATGGTTTGAATAAAGCCACAGGATGCAGAGGACGACAAAATAAAGGTCTGGGAAAGAGAAAATAGAAACCAACAAACAATGGTATTATGTAAAGAACTTGAAAATAGGACAATGAACTTCTTATTTCTGAACTTACCTTTACAATGGACTGCAATGGCACCTCGAGCACTTTCTGCAATGGCAAGAAACTGTTTCATGATGGGGTCACTAGGAGTGCTACCATCAATAAAAAACAAGTCTCTGTGATCGAAGCCAGCCTCTACGAATCTGTTTGCATCATATATCTTCTTATTAAGTCGAATTACAGTTGTGACATCATTCCTCCTGAAGTAGGCAAAATATGCTTCTGGTGCATGGAGGGGATAACCTGAAATCAACATATCTATCATTAATATCATTAAGCCAGATATATGAAAGGTAGTGGAACAGTGTACCAATGACACATCACCAAATTATAATAATCTGGCCTACAGATACAAATATTTAAAAAGACACCTGAAACCAAGTTCTTCCCAGAATGTTTCACAACTTTTGGTCCCTAAAACCTATAATCACTGCAAAATTTTACTCCTGATGCAATTTTGTTTACTAGGAGAGCTAAAAGTTTCCACGACCACTTTTACTCCTCATCAAAACTGTTCATCACCTTATCCCCCAATCACTAACCAACATGCTATATATGCTGCCCAAATATGTCTGTTCTGTTGTGCGTAAGTGTACAGTGTGGATTATCAATAACAAGACATTGCAACAAACAGAATAAAATAACGCCATAGTCTTTAATTTCCAGGAACATAATAATAGTGCAAGGACAAAGTTCATATTCTAACAGAAATTACAATTACAGCAATTACATTGAAAGACAGATTTTTATCACAATATTGGGTCCTAATTCATGAAAACAATGTCAAGTGTACTCTGGAATGATGGCGTTGGAAACTATGCCAAACAAAACTGACCTTCAAATGGCACAGTATTAATTATGGGGAGAAAAGTTGGTTGAACCTCTGTCCGCCTGTACGTGTGTGCGTAATACAAACAACAAATTCTACGGCTGCTTGTCTGAGGGAAAAGAAACATTTACATGATGCATTCACATTTTAAGGTGAATGCATTAAAAATGTCACAATGATTCTCAAAATATGAACCTAATGACAGCAAAATAATAAAATACCTGTAACATTCCTTTTAATTAGAAATAATCTTGTAGAGGGACAGCTTCAGACAGAGCATACTCTTCCTTATAATGTGCATTTATTCCACTGCTGTGTGTGGTTTTTTAAATAAAGATAAATTGTTTTATTGAAACACATGCATGGATTTAAAAGACTTGTGTACTATACAGGCCAATACACCAAATACACGTGCAAAGGATGTAAAATTCCAAGTGCCATAGAAATGTACAAACCATTTTCAATCTTGCTCTTTGCATGAGGACCACAAAAAGCAAGAAACTTCTGTGGCACAATCCAGTTCAGATCACCATTCTCTACTCTCTGAAACAAACAAAATAAAAATCATTTCTGAGTAAACAGGTGACTTGTCGCCTTCTTATTGGAGGTACCACAAAGAATATAATGTACAGAATGGCTACTGAGATACATGCTACAGCTCAAAGTTTCAGGCTGCTGTTTTGTATTTGGATGATACAATGCAACGCTGCTGCCCGTCACACAGCATATCTGATGTGGGCTTCCTGGGTACTCTGTTATCAGCAACTCACGGGTCCAGGCTACATGCAGGTTAGTGTTCAAGACGGTATGTAAGTATGCTATTGAACGATGCATTTTCATCTATGAGAGTTTTGTAAAAATAGATTCAGCTGATGCATGTAGGACATTTCAACAAGAAATCCAAGGTGTTAATTTTCCTCCAAGGTCTATCATTCACTATTTGGTCAATAAATTCAAAACTATAGGTTTGATACTGGACAAGAAAACAGAAAGGACACGCTACGTATCGGCTACAGGAAAATCTGATATTAATTTGAATCTAAGCTACTAGCCACACTGAAGAATTCACCATTGCAAACAGTGTTTATACGTCAGCAACTGCAAGCCAAGCAGTGGAAGTGCGCGTGCAATCGGAAAATGGGCTTAGGAGTTCCGCGCAGAATTCATTATTCCAGTCAGTGTTCAGATTTTCATGCTGTGATCTGTTTTAATAACCTCTAATCTATTTATCAGTCTTGATTATTGAATTAAGACACTAACGTCTATGCACGTATCTACTCTCACCTCATAGTACTCATACTCATCCACATCAAAATCTTCAAAGTTGAAAAAACCCAGGTTCAAAGCTTTATATACAGCATGGAGGCAGTCCATTAATGTAATGTGATACACAGACATTCCAAAGGATGCGTCTCTGAAACAAAAAAATACAAATTTAGCAAGTCGTCATGACAATTTATGGAAAAGATTTTCTTGAAGTTAATCAACAAATTTCAGCGCTTACAACTTTGTGTTCACACAGTGCACAAACGTAAAAAATACGCAAAGAATGTGTTGATGCTGCACAAAAGATATGAGGAAGGAGGCTTTCGTGGCAATAAATACGTGGACTGCAATATTCTTGGTTGAGAGGGCATGTAGTCTAGTACGTGATTACAAGCATAACTCTAGCCTGTTTCGGACACACGTGTAAACACTGAAATGTTTTGTCTCAAAATGACAATACCTGAAAGGAAGAAACGGTGGATTTGTACCTCCGATCAATGGCCGGTATGCTTCTTCTGGAGTTTTCTTGAGATAAATTATCTGCAAATAGATATATTACATTAGTATATACATTAAAAAACAAGAGTTGTGCATCGAATGACTCGTGGAGTTCAGTACTGTCGAAAAAAATTGCCACAAATACTGGCAGAATGAAATTAGATTTGTCGCATTCCGACATTTATCTTTCGGAAGTTCTTGGCGAAACAACGTTGGCACGGGCATGCGCAAAGCTCGTGTGGAATTTCGTAAGCTTGCAGTTCATGGGTTGTGGAGTGATACTTATTTCTTCCGAAACGAAAACTTCGCCCGTTACTGCCCGTGACCACGTGGAAATGGCCTCAACGCACGTGACGTTTGCTGAAGGAGCTTCCAGAAAACAAGTCGGTTTGAGGAACGAGCATTACTGGTCTGTTGAAAATCCTCACTGGCTCGGCAAGCAGCGATCAACGGCGACTGACAGTGCGGCATCACTTAATTGGAATTGGGTCAAGGTCGTCAACAGGACGCTGCCAGATCTCTTGTCAGAGACTCTCTTCCAACGCGACGGCAACGACGACTAATCTAGGGGGTTATAATTGTTTTACAATGGAGTGGTGCCGAGTGAAATGACGAAGTAATTATCAAGAAACAGGAAGTGGTCATCACCATTTGTGATGGAAAGAAGCAATCCGGAGTGCAAAATTACAGGTTAGCGATGGCGCAACGCGATGAACAATGGGAGGAAGTTTGGCTTGTAGTTGCCCCGACCTCGTTATGTCTAGTTACGCAAATGATAACGGTTTGGAAGGCGCTGGTGCGACAGAGACAAAGCTTCCGCGTAGCCCGACTATCGGATTCTCTGTATTAATTCAATTCGAAAATGCGGAAAGATCTTGAGGCCGGTCAGGCAACCAACCGCCGATCCTTGATGACGGGATTCTGTTCCGTAATGGAAACGCTGATTTTACAAGTTTCGGTCACAGCAGTAGTGCCCAATAATGTTTTAAAGTCGGAGTGGACACCAGAATTTACGAACACTATAATTTAATAAAATAATTATATATAATTAACAAATTTAACGAAAACCATATTTTTAATAAATTCGTATTACTTTTAAATGTATTTTAGATCTCTAAGTTATTTATCTGTATTACTACAGACAACCACCTTCAAATTTATTTCAGAGTTCTCCAAATCTTCGTCCTGAATCTGAACTAAGGCGCGGGACCGTTCGCCAAGTTTCAGTTCAACGTCACCCGGAAGCCTGACGAGAGTTGTCGGTCTGTCGGTCAGGCGGTGGACCTGCCCGAGAGGCTGGAGCTCCGGTCAATGACCGTAACCCAGAGACTGGTTCAACCACTTTCCTGGTTCCCAGTAGTTCTCATTACAAGCACCAATCTGCAGAGGAAGCAACGGGCCACACCTGCGCGTAGCAACTGAACTCCGTTTGCTATCTGCACTAACGCAAACGGAATTGTAAAGCGCCTGCTCCACATTGGAAGTAGTTGCTTGCATGTGAACTGGACGCGGGAATGCTCTGCTTTTTTAAGAGTTGTCCACGCGAAACTACGTAAAACAAGTCGGAATATTCAGCCACAGAACCCGAAGGCTCCGCTGGACAGCTTCCGGAGTCAGCTGCATTCAGCCTTCCGCCTTAATGTTGGTCACACGCATTTCTTCCTGCCGTGTGGCCTTTTAAAAGAACCCCACAAAGAATTCCACGTACTTACTGCCAGTGCCATAGTAGGTAGACAGACACCGACGTTTCCGAGAAATGGATGCAGCAATTCATTTTCTGGCGATACAAATCCACACGGAACTACGGCCCGCAACATTAACCCAGACTTCACATGTGATTCATGCATTCGCCTGTAATAGACCTTTTACTACGAAGGCCGTGGAGGGATGATTCAGGCAGGAAACAGCATGTTAGGCAACCTGACAGCGTGGAAGAATTACTGAAAGACGGAACTTGTCACGGGGCGGAGGGAAGACGGAGTAAATCATAGATTATTATTACAGGAGTAAACTCATCGCCCTGATTATGAAGGCAGCAAGATCCTCTGAAATGCTGGTAAACTTCTGCCAGACTACACCCAGAAGGCAGCCATCTTCAGTTTCGCTTAATATTTTTGTGCGGCCCTCGACACAGACATGAATAGTCAAAACGTCCCGTTGTAATGAAAAGATTTCAGAGTCCTGAAAAGTGCTTATATTCCGAAATTGCTACGCCACTAATAACATTTACAGGTGGGCGTGGCTTGGAACATCATCTCTGGCAGCCTCCGATTAAAAGACTCTGGGAGCCACCGGTCTAAAACCACGAAAACGTCAGTCAGGGCGTCCAGTTATCAAGAGAGATTCATGTTGCACATCTCAGGACGCGGTACGCAACCGAACTCACCTGTTCGTCGCCCCTGCCACGTATCGGCCATTCCGAGTCGATGCATTCATTTCTCTCGTAGAAATTTATCAGACCTGCATTGGCTAGTAAACTCCGACGTCATGTAAGTAGTGGGCAGTGCTCCGTCGCAGGCCTGAGATGACGAGGCTTACAAAGGCGTGATAAGTAAAATCACCCGTTGAAATTTATGGAAACTGACATGAAATAACTTCAGAATAACTGGGTTCGAGCCCCACCCAATGAGCGCGAACTTCGTTTAGAGAAAGCTGTTTGAGAAACGTTTCAGTGGATATCTTCAACTGCACGACGCTAAACAGAATTTATAAAACAAACCAACTCCTTAAAGCGCACAGAACAACTCGCCAACGAAATCAGAGCAATCGGATGAAGATTAAACTTCCCCGAATTTTATTTGGCGAGGAATCCTCGACAGTGTTATCGTTGCATTAAGAGCAATGAATACAGGAGAAATATCCACCACCAGAACTGCGGGCATCATGAATATTGTCTCCGACACGCTGATCAGGAATTGCCCTACATACAGAGAACAGCTGTTTCTTCGACGGCGTTCCACTCAGTGAACAGAAACCGAGGACGTTACGTAAGAGTGTTTTGTGACTCGCCCAACGCAGCATCCAACACGCGACAGCAATTTTATCTCTAGGAGTAAATAAAATGTAAGCGTTCCGTCCGTCATTTAACCAGCGCGTGCAGACAGACGGACGGACATAAAGATCGCGCTGATTTTCACCAAACAATTTCCTGAAACAGGCCTATACGACTTAAAAACGAAGTTGTGCCGTTTGTACGCGAGGGAAAAGTTGCCCGCGTGCTTAACTAAGCAGTGGGGCAGTGGAGGTACAGCTCCACGAATTCTTATCCTCGCAGAAGTTGGCCGAGAACTGTGAGCTGCAGGCCCCGAGATACCGGGTGCAGCGGTGCCATACGCTTTTCAAAAAGAAGGGCCCACTTTCTATTATACAACACAGACTACAAATGGCGTACCACAGCCTTTGCTGTAAATTTGCCTTTAATAACTTTGGCTGTCCGGACCAAAAGTGATAACACATTTAACGCACTACAAACATTTCAAACGCACACCTTTAGAGAGAGAGAGAGAGAGAGAGAACCCATGCAAGATGGAAGAATGCCATAAATCGCGAACGCCTTTTAAAAATGACCGGTCCTCATCTGCTCAGTCTTCGGGGTCTTCAGGGCAAGGCCGCCCGCAGTTTTCCTCCAACTGGACGGGCCAGTCTACCGATTGTCGGATGTGGGTAAAAATACACTACCATACCGATGGGGCCTGCTGCCTAGTTATTTCAAACATGGAATCAGCTTTAATGTTTACCTCGTTAAATGGACGACGATGTGCCCCGTCCCCTCGGGGTTCACCTAGAAGCATCTACTGAGAACGAATGCAAATCAAATGTCACGAAAGTGCCTTCCAGTAATACAAACCAAAAGCAAGGCGAAATAAAACATGGAAACGAACAGCTCGGCGTAGAAGCGCTAGTATGACGAGCAGAGTTAAGCACTGGACCTACAGACACCTCCAAATGCATGTTTCCGTTTACAAGCCCCAGTAAGTTTGAAACTAATCCAAGAGTGGGAGGATTTCAATCCTTAGACTTCATCCAGACATTTACGGAGTATTGCATCAGCTACAAGGTCATGACGCTGACATATCCTGTTCCTACCCTCGCGTGGTCGCCTGTCCAAGGCGCACCTGCTTCGCATCCTACCCAGGGCTGTCCCAATCAGCGAGCCTCAGACCCTGATTACTTCTGCATAAAGCAGCAAAAATGATTTACGTCGTTTGTATCACAACTAGGAGGGGGGGGGGGAAGTCTCTCTGGAACATCAGCCCATTCTCTGCACGTGCGTAACATTTAATCAAATCAAATCTGTTCAGAAGAAAATCGGGCACGCCTGTGACTCGCGAAACACGGAGAAACAATCAGCTGAACAGCTGATGTGCTGAAAGAGCTTACATACAAGCGACGTCATCGCAGGCCGCCCTTCGACCAGTTTCGATCTGAGTAAGGTTTAAAGATTTTAAAAAGGCCTTCAAATTCTCTCTTGTGTCGAGCTGCAGAACTATCGGAGACTTCGCAGTGGATTCCTTGTTGAAAGGCAGGCAATGGAAATATTTCGAACTATTACAACTGATTATTTCTACAAATCGTTAAAGACACACACATTTTCCATGGAGGTTTCGGGACGCCCAGCTGACCTGTATTTGAACTCCGATGAAAGGTCAAATATTACGCAGTGGCCGTAAGAAGCCCAAGTCCTACTTTGACTCGCTCAGCAATCTCCCAAGTATCCGCTTACGAGAACACAGCAGATGATTAGGTGAGAGTTGTTGGGTTTTTCGTAGTGAACTTTCGTCATATGCGATGGGTTTAGTTGTAAGAATGGGTGGAGATGTGGACGCCTGCTAGGCCTACTGGTTTCTTGGTCGTGTC